TTTAGAATATAACTATAACGTAACGTAAAGAATAAATGTAACGCATATATTAACACATTATCGATCTATAATAAATTTTACAAACTATATCTATATCTGATTACCGACAAAAAGATATAAATTCGATCATCGTTATTAATATTTAGAACATAACTATAAATTAAAGAAAATAATAAATGTAACACATGATCGATCTACAATAAATTTAACATATATCAATATTCGGTCACCGACAAAAAGTATAAATTCGATCATTATGATTAATATATACTATAATATAACTACAAATTAAAGAAAATAATAAATGTAACGCATACATTAACACATGATCGATCTATAATAAATTTAACCTATATCTATATTCGATCACCGACAAAAAGTATAAATTCGATCATCGTGATTATTATAAAAAATATAAATATAAATAACTATTACGTAAAGAAAATAATGAATGTAACGTATATATTAACACATGATCGATCTATAATAAATTTTATAAACTATATCTATATTCGGTCACCGACAAAAAAAGATAAATTCGATCATCGTGATTAATATTTAGAATATAACTGTAACGTAAAGAAAAGAATAAATGTAACACATATATTAACACATGATCGATCTATAATAAATTTCACAAACTATATCTATATCCGATCACCGACAAAAAAAAAATTCGATCATCGTGATTAATATTTAGAATATAACTATAACGTAACGTAAAGAATAAATGTAACGCATATAATAACACATGATCGATCTATAATAAATTTTACAAACTATATCTATATCCGATCACCGACAAAAAGATATAAATTCGATCATGGTGATTAGTATTTAGAACATAACTATAAATTGAAGAAAATAATTAATGTAACACATATATTAACACATGATCGATCTATAATAATTTTAACCTATATCAATATTCGGTCACCAACAAAAGGTATAAATTCGATCATCATGATTAATATATACTATAATATAACTACAAATTAAAGAAAATAAAAAAGTAACGCATATATTATAACACGTGATCGATTTATAATAAATTTTACAAATTAGATCTATATTTGATTACCGAGAAAAAATATAAATTCGATCATCGTGCTTAATATATAGAACATAACTATAAATTAAAAATAATTAATATAACGTATACATTACCACATAATCGATCTATAATAAGTTTTACAAAATATATCTATATATTCGATGCCCACAAAATATGTCTACTTACAAATACACTAAATATGTCTACTTACAAATACAACTAATATGACTCATAATATTTTTGAATATCTTCTTCAGCTGTTCTTGAATGTATCTAGTATACAATATTGTGACGAGGTTTTAGAGAAGAAAACAAAAAGCGAAGTGGCGAAAAAAGGAATTATAAAGTAAAAAAAAAAGAAAATTCCAAACTAGTTAGCTCAAGAATTGAATTAAGATTTTGAGAGAGAGAGTTTAAGTAATAATAAATCCTGGATATCTGTTTGGTTTGAACTTTGACCACTGCCTCTTCTGGGTCCCACTTCTCTTTCTCTCTCTAAAATCTCTCACTTTCCTCAACTCCTTAAGAGTTTCCTTTCTTCTCAGAAATTTCCGATTTCATTT